GATTGGAGGCGGTCTTCCCTTGACTCCTTGGTTGGCCCTTCCCTCGGCCACCTGCCTTAGCCTTTACAACTGCGACGAGGGTGCTACCCTCAGCGGTCTCCTCGTCGTCGTACTCTGAGTAGTCCATCAGGTCAGTGAGCTCATCGATTTCCGTTTGAGTCCCATCGGAGTCTTCCACTCCTGAGGACTCTTCTTCTTCTTCGTGTCATTCTGGGAGGGCTGAGCATTGCCTAGAGTGGCCTCCAAATCTAAGGCTTTCCTAGACAATGTCTCAAACGAATGGTACTTGACGCGTGCCTCACTGGCCAGCAAGTTCCTGATGTTCTCTGGAAGACATCTAACAAACATAGTTAACAGGAACTGGTCACTGTAGTTGATGCCTGGAACGAGGATCAGGTTCTCTACGGTAGTCGTAAGCTCTCTGACCGACTTGACCTTTCGTTGGTCTAGTCTGTTAATCGCATCAGTGGATTTTTGTGCCTCCTGTGGATTATGCCATCGAGCTTCTACCATCTCCATGAACTGGTCTAACGTAAGAGACTTAGCCCAGTCCGCCATGCGTCGTCCGTACCCAGCCTTTACAACTACGCCATCTAGCCATTTGGCTGCCTTACCCTCGAGGTAAGATGCAACAGTAACCACTTCGTCCTCCGGCAAGGTCCTCTTAGCCTTCACCCAAACCGGGACTGTCCTCAACCAAGTGTTGAGTTCTTCGTCCTTTCTCTCGCCTGAGAAGGCAAGAGGCGGTTTCATTGGGGTCTTAGGATACCATTGACCCTGCGGCTGTCCCTGTTGAGGAACAGGTTGTTGCGGTGGTGTAGCTCCCACCGCTGGACCCGAAGAAGAAGATGCAACAGTCTGTGCGGCTGCTGCAGACGTACCACTTGGCTGTGTGCCAGCTTGAACTGGAAAGGGGCCTGACATCGCCGATAACGGCAACGACGATTCTGCTGGTGGCCTGAATCCTGGCCTTGTCAATACATCCAGGATCTGGTCTAGAGTGCTCTGCATGAAGTCTAATATACTGTCCACGTGCGCATGCAACGACAACATATTCTTTTTCAGTACTTTCATTTGGTCAGTCAATGTTGACTCGTCCAAGCCCTCTAACTCAGCCTTGTCAGCCTCTAAAGTATCAAGCCTGGCTGCTCTATTTTTCATCTCTCTTTCCCTCTCGGTTGCCTTCTTCAGGTCCTCCTCTAACTTCTGGCGGAGCCTCTCGACCTGTTGGATCTCTCTGAGCTCCCTCTCACGTGGGGTCAGCGGGCTGAACTACGAGCCCACCATTTGACTTGAAGACTGTCGAGAACCCATTGAACTGGACGTGCCCAGGGAATTCGTTGGCATTCCCAACTGACTCCCATTAGTCCCAGACAAAGCCGCAGAGGATGCAGCCGAGCTAGTCATGGCTGCTGCCCTGGCTGCTGCGGCAGCCTGTTCCCTAGCTGCGACGTTTGCTGTTGCCCAAGCTGCTGCTAGTGCACGGGCTCTACGTTCGGCTATAAGCCGTCTTTCGTCTCCCGGTTGTAGGGCCTGGAACACGTGCGGGACCCTAAGTGCTTCCGCACATGTTAGTCTCCTATTGTCTGCTCTATCATCAACAGGATCTGTTCCGCTCATCAATTAGGCAGACAGTATCTGCACTAGAATCCCCTAGTGGAATCCTACCACAGCATGTGTCTGACCGACACCTAATTTTCTAAAAATAGTTGTGTCCGACAAGTCCCCTACTGACCAATCAAGTGGCATGTCTACAACATTCACAACAGATTGTCTACATAGTCTAGATGTACTCTGATTGGTTCACTTACAGCAGCATTAGACAGAACTGGCTATGGTAGCATACAACGGTCCTAATCTAATCTGTCTGTGAGGTGTTAGCAGTCTGTCCACCAACTAATCAAGAATACAAAAAGACCATGTAGCAGATGTATGATGAGTGGGTATGGTTGTGTATACAGTTGAGCACCAATTAGAACCTACCCTTCCCCTCAATCCAACATACCGGTAAGCATCATTGAGCGAGCAGTGTCTTCGTGTGTGTATCGGCCCACCCCTGTGCCCAAGTCGTCACCTAGCAAGCCAGCCCAACCACTCTTATTTACCCTCGTACGGCGACGAGCCTTCCTGTCCATGTGATCTGGCTGATCAGGAGGATTTTATAGAGTGCCCCCATCTCTGCAGGAATTATTTAACCGCGCAGTCAGGACGACGATCACAGCCAGATTCACAATGAACTCCCAACCAGAAATTTTTATAGACGGTCTGGTAAGCGTCTGTCATGGGCTGGCACACCCGGCATAACTTCTATTCAGCGCAGCAAGTGCCAAAATGGACAGCAGCCATCGCATGCGTGACCTACTCCAATTGGGTTGGCATGGTGACCATGACCCAATGCTTCGACCAGGGCCCTTCAGAGGCACCGCCCTTTCTCCTTCCAGATGCTTCCGGGAAGATTGTTGTCTCTCAAGGTAGCGCGCTCACGACACCTCACCAAAAGAGAGGACTCTCAAGTTGGACTCACTTCCTCACGGTAAGAAGAGATTGAGAGAGTAGATAAGGTAAGGGAACAACGTACCTGAAGATAGCTGCCCCCAACCACAGATTTCTCACCAATTGAGCTGAGTGTGCATTTGATGACCGGTCTTGGCCTCGGTACCACCCACAACGCAATGCAGTGCCACCTCAGCCGAATGCCACATCAGCATGCTCTCATCACCAATCATACATTCCGCATGTCACCACGGCATACACTGCCGTCCTAGCCTTCCGGCGCACCCCTCTCTACCCAGGGCGTGCGCCTATTGTGGCCTGACGTCACAAGTACCCACTGCGAAGAAGCATCGTCAACACACCAAGTCTGTATAACGCCAGCGTGCCAAAGGTAAGTGGCGAATCAAACCAGCTCCGATACCAAATTGCAAGGAACATGAATATGGACGAAGCACAGAAATCCAGATTGCAAAATCACACTGAAGTCCAAGTAGTCAAAGCCAGAGCGGATAGCACGATGGAACCGAGTAACCATCCATTTGAGAATGATACAGAAGAATCATGAGTCAATGTCCAAGCCCAACAGGGCAACACCAACAGCATAACCCAATGTATCTCTCTCTTGTGAATGGCGCCAGGCGCCCGATCTACTCTACAGCCTAGCCTACAACTACAGCAATGAAAGCAACCAGACAACTTGACTACCAGCGAGTGATGATGTCAACACCAATGCCGACCTCCACCTCCACCAGGTAYGTGTCCTCTCCACCCACACTCTCCCTTGTTACCCACACAGCGCCCTTCACCTCCGAAGAACCACCTTCGCCCTCACCTCCCCTGCGCCCTATGCAGCCCGTTTATGGCCGCCAAGCGCCCACTACACAGGCAGCACCCTACCGCCTAGCGCTAGCCGGCCTCATCCCAGCGCAGCGCAGCACCTCGCATTAGCGCAGCGTGCCCGCAATGCCTGCATTGGCCAAGATCCCTGCCCACTCGCCCTGCTTGCCTATATGCCAGTGCTGCGTGTGGGCGGCCTCCCTTCAGCCTGCGACTGGGCCCCAGTGGCTGAACCCAGCCTGATACAGTTGAGGCCCGGGGCAATGCAGTTGCGCCTCTTTCATCAAGGCCTGCGGCCAGATTCAAATAGTGGGCCGATTTCCCTTTGGCATTTTCGGCCTCTATACCCAGAATGCATTGTCGGCCTCACATTCAAGTGCCCAGGGCCTAACTAACTCAGAGGCCCTGGGATCTCCACACTTGCAGAGATTCGAGACTCGGTGCACTCCAACCAACTGGCGTGCTGCAACTGTATGGACCCCACTTCGGGAAATGTTTGCACAGAGGGCTCTTGTTGATTTGCTGGCCCGCCTTCACTTAGGGCGGGTACTGGGCTTGCTGGGGCCTTAGCCCAGAACATGTACATCATGGCAAGGCCCCTTCTTGAGGGCTCAATCCTCACATGGTTGGCAACTGAGCTAAATTGGAAATTCGAGCTTCCAAATATGGTCTGGCCAAAGGCGTAATAATAATAAATGTGTTTCAAAATCCTCACAGTATTTACTTAACCTTTTCCCAATCAATGGGTGCAAGGTCAGACCTCCAAACTGTCCCTCTTCACCCCATTGCCTTCCTCCGAATGCTGTCTTCTCCACCTGTTTATAGATAGTAAACCAAGTGTGCATCAACATACAATGCAAGACTTCAAAACTGTTCTTTTTCACCTACTTACCCTCCGTCCAGGCTGACCAGTGACCACCCCCCCTGCTCTTCTCCCAATGCGTAACAAGCCCAATGAAGTCTGTGCCATGCTGCCTGGCCTTTTTCACTCGGTAAATGCCCGACACGCCCAAGTAAACATTCGATGTTCCTTTCTGTCGGTATACGCCCCCTACCAAGCGGGCAATGCCGAGCACGGCGAGCAGATTGGCCATGTGCCAATGTTTACTTGAACTTGCTTTGACGTGCAGGAACTTGAGACCTGACACTGCATCAGATGCTTTTGTTGTGACTGAGTAAAAACAAGAGTAGCAATTCACAAAAAATGAAAACAGAACCTTCTAAACACCTAAGCCCCTAAAGCCCTCAACCCTTCAACCCTGAAAAATGCTTAAGCCCTAAAGGACCTGAACACATGAACATGAAAAAGCTAAACCCTCTCAGATTATGCTACATTAATGTTGTCAGGAATCGCAATTTTAATGTTTTACATTATTCAGAAGACAGTGTGAAGACTCCCGTTACACATTGCATTGAGTTTGAATGACTGGTGAAAAGAATCCGATCACTCACAACTCCCTTTTTTTAATCCCCTTTCTTCTCCTTTCCCCTTTTTTTCCATTATCCACAGTCTTGGCATTCCGCTGGTTCTTGCAGAGTCTCATAAGTTCTTGTTTTAGAAAAATCGAAGAATTTTTCCTATGTCTTAATCCACTTGTTTACTTTAGGGACATGTACAGATGATCTGACGAGGAAAGAAGCAGAGTATTTTTTCCTTTTTTTTCAATTACCAGTGGGTGCGCCTCATGGATTGTGTACAACAGTTTCCCACTCTGTGGCCCAAAAGCGCGAATTTTCCCATCCCGCCAACCACTCAAAATGCTTTTGCCATGGGGCATAAATGCAATGCACAGGCATTCAACGTTTGGAACCTGCCAACATGCCACCAAATCACCACGACAGAAAGGGTGAATTCACAAAGTTCAATGCTCATTAGACTCACTACCACCTTGGACGTTCCCCACTTTCGCCTTCATGACCCCAATAAACTAACTTCATACCGAGGAAAATGGCAGATACACAGCAAACTTTGACAAAAGACCATTGAACTGCTCCTACTTGCAGAATGTGAGGCACTATGTTGCACACCCTCAACACACACACACACACACACACACACACACACACACACACACAACCACTTTTCTGAGGTGCATTGCTAACTCTGGGCGACCTGGTGAGTCCTTATCCATCAGTCAAATGCATTCTGGGCAGACTGTCAGGGTTCAAGCTCCTGATGAGTCGGTGAAAGTCCGCCGAAACAGTCTGGCACAGTCATGCTTTTTTTTGTGGAGTTTTGTATGGTGAAAATGACAACACATGCACACACACACACACACATACACACACACACACACACACACACACACACACACACACACACACACACACACACACACACACACATGCATGCATAAAGGGGTTGTTGGACCAAGGAGCGGCAGGCAAGAGCTAAAGGTGACAAGGGTAAGGAGCACAGTGACTCTTTAACTCAAAGGGAAGCAGTAACCTCATGTGTAAATAAGTCCCACCGGTTTGTTACCTTTGCGGCTTTGCCTTTCTGCCTGTGTATTTTTTGTGCCTTTGAATAATAAATTTCAAAGGACCCACTGCATTCTAAATAAGGGATTGGAAGCGGAAGGGAGTGTCGCGGCTGGACGGAGCGCTAACGCACCGTTCCAAACCGGCGTCGCCCTGGGGCAGTAACCTAAATTTTGCCCCAGGTCGCTACCTCGCCATTAACTCCGCCATCGCCGACGGAGCATGGTGGACGTACCTGTTCATTTCACCTGAACTGCCGGTCTTCCGGCTACATCCTTTCGAGGTAGTCGTAGTAAGGGAAGGCAGGGTATAGGTAGTAGGAAGCTCTTAGGTAAGGGTATTCTTCAACAGCATCTTAGAACACTGCTTACCGAGAACGTACGGTCCATGCAGGTGGATGGTGAATAGGTCTGCTATCCCAGTGGGCTGTCATACTTTCAGTTAATCAACGGGTGAAGGGAAGATGACGGATATGGAAGAGGAACAGCTGGGGGAGAGGGGGCGTGTAAGAGGGCAGTTGAAGAAGCGGAGTAGACCATGGAGGCTCACCCAATCTCTGAACTTTTTGGTAGGTTTGGTAGGTTGGGCTCTCTCTCTCTCTCTCTCTCTCTCTCTCTCTCTCTCTCTCTCTCTCTCTCTCTCTCTCTCTCTCTCTCT